AAAATTGTCCAAGTATGTCTGAAAACAAGTGGCCAAAATAAAGCAAAAACCAAACTCAGTCAGAATCCTAAACTTATGAAATGCCTATTTACAATTGTTGGCTACCTGTGCCTACTTATATTTTGCCATCATCCACTATTGGTGAATAGTCATTGCCAACTCTTTAAAGGTTTCTTCCATTTGATCCTTAGAAAATGTTTTGCAATATTTGTCCTCAGAGTACCCTATGCAAAACCACCACAATAAAGTCAAGTTAGATGTCAAATCTAGATTGTTAAAATGAATAAAGTCAAGCTCGAAGATATATACCTCGTTGGGAATTGTGGACAGGGTGTCTTTCACTATGTCTTTGATAAATTTCATTACGCAATAACTACAATCCATGCCCCCATTTGTTTGTTCTAGGAACTATGAACAAACCAACAATATATATATATATATATATATGCTTAAATAATTATTGATAAATATAATCATTTATTGTCTCCCACGAAAACAGTGAGTCTTAGACTTCTAATTATGGCAGGATAGTTTTAGCCATGTGAAGGCAGCCCTTGAAAGGTTGAGTGCCGCTCATAGGAGCCTCAAAGTTGCCAGATCTGGCATTAAGAAGAGGAACAAGCAGGCTGTCAAGGTCCCTGGTAGAAAGTGAATTGGCAAGAGTTATTTTGCACTCAACCTCTTGTTTTCCTGTGATTTTTGTGTTCCTATAACTTTATCTTAAGCTGAACTGGTTGTTACATCTCATATTAGAAGGATTTGGGGAGATTCCTGAATATATAAGCGAATGCTATACATCCCATTAAACTAACATTTTGGAAAGAGGATAATGGTCATATAACAAAGTGATATCAAAGTCAAACTTAAGTTTATCTAGTCTGTGAACTCTTTCAATGGGCCACTTGTGATGAAGGCATCATGAACTGATTGAAAGAATTGTTACATCTCACATCAGAAAGATTTGAGGAGAGTTCTGAATATATACATAGGGGTACTACACACCCTACTAAGCTAGTTTTTTGGGGAAAGAATAATAACCTCGTAACTTGATATAAGCTTTTTTTTTCATCCTTTTATACAAATCATAACTTGAATGGCATAGATTTTTACTCATTTAATTTGTTTACAGTGATATATTTGCTTTTGAGCTGTTTACATGATATAACATAGTGAATGATCGCGAGAAAATTTGCATTTGCATTATTTAGAAAAGGTGATTGTGATTCTGATGATCAAAAACACGTGGTATTATTGAGTTAAAAACATGTGGTATTATTGAGTTAAACAGACATTGCCTTGCATGGCCTAGACAAATATTTGTAGCAAATAAAGTGGTCTGGTACATAAAAGAAGAGACATATTGATGCAACACTTTTTTTGTGATTGTTGTAGATCATTTTTCTGTGCTATTTGAGCTATTCTAGTTTATGAAAGAAGAGAAGTTATCAAGACATAAACTTGTGTTGTTGTATGTTAAAATCATGAAGGAAAATCTGGATATGATTTGGAGACCATGGGATTTTTTTTCCAAGTATTCTGCTATATTTTTCTTGAAAATAAGACTCTTAATATGATCGAAACTTTATGTTGTGAAATTTTTTCAGTCTTGAAAACATATCATAACCCTACATTGATCATAGGTTTTGCAAGTAACATATATTCAATTAATATATTGCCAACTATCGCACCCCATCTTAAAAAGCTTTTGAAACACCACTAACATGAGTAATGGTTAAAAAAATTTCAGTCTCGAAAACATCATGATCTAAGTTTTTTTTTTTTTAACTTTGCATTCCAGTCTTAATATAAAATTGAACGCTAATTCAATTTCATTCAAACAATGGGAATATAAAAACTATTGCCGCATTCTTTTTTATAAGCACAATGTACAATTCCAAAGCTTTGCTTTGGTGGCCAACGCAGTCCTGAAATAAAAGCCTTGAAATGGTTTTTTTTTTTTTCAAATAAATTTTCCAGTAACTGTAAATGGCTTAGCATGCTCTTAGAATATCACTAAATACAATTGACCTGTTTGAGTAGCCTTTAAAAGTACATTCAAACCACCTTTGGGATGTGAAGTTGGATCCTCCAAATGTATTTTTTTTTAAATATAAATTGAAAATCAAACACAAACAATATCGGGCAGCCATCATTGTTTCCATCATGACACCAAATGCTATGCATTCCAGTCCAGAAAACTTCTAACAAAACATAATATTGTACGGATCATATAATAAGAATAAACACTTTCCGACAGCAATTTATTCTTTACCTACTGCACTATTATATGTAAACACACACGTCCTTCTTACTTCAGCACCCATATATTTAGTAAAATTATAGGTCTGACATACATGTACATATCTGAGGCGAAAAACCAAGATGTGTGAAAGCTGAAGGAGTCTCTGGGAAACACGTTCAACAACAGCACATCCACATGTCGCTCGCCATCAATTTGAATCACCACATTGGATGGTTGTGGCCAACTATCAATGTGAGTTAAACTCAATGCTCATGCTATCCCCCTTTGTCAAGATCTTCTCCCCAAGTTCTTCCATTACCAATGTGGTATTCATCCCAAGACTTTACATCTAAAATGATGTGCCTATGAGGTCTTAAGTGAGCTTGAATTTTGGAGCAAATTTGATATTGTTGGTGTTCATATTTACCATTGCCTATTTTAGCATATGTTTTTGTACTCACATATGCCCCAACACCCAATTATGTTCATAAACATTATCGAAACTCATAGCCTCACCATGCACCTCCACTGGGTCCAAACACACCAAGTTTAGTACCACTAAATAAGACCAACATGCTGAAATTAGCTCTTAAGATCATTGGCAACGATGGGAAAAATCAAAGTCTGAGTCATACTGAAACACTATTTTTAAGAGTTATTCTGCTACACCGGATTGATCGAGTGGAAAGTTTCCAATATTAAACAAACTCTTCCTGTAAAATGTAGAGGGACACAAAATGAGTCATTCTATTCGCAAAATAAACTCAAGCAACAGCACAAAAGAACTAGTGTGATAGAAGAAGAGAGAAAACCCAAAAGTTCAAATACTACCTTTTATAGGTAGAGAGCTCAAAAGTTGGGCAATAAAAACACCTTAAACATCATTATAAAAAAATCAGTTTCATATATAATAATGGGGTTTAATATATAGGCTACAACATAAATTAATTTAAATAGCAATTAACATTATTAATTTATAATAATTCCTTTTGAAATACCCATTAATATTTTATAATATCCAACATTGGGCGGATATAATATTCCAAAGCATTCTTTTGTATTTTGGCTGATCATAAAAATAGGCTGCTTACAAAGAATAGATCAGTATCTTTTAATTTTCTCATTGATTCTGCGGTTTGTTTGTGGTGTAATGCTGAAAATGAGTCAATCAGGCACTTGTTCTTGAATGATCCAAGGTGTTGTTTAAGAATGTCATGAATTGGATTAACGCTAAATCAGTGAGCAGAAGATAAAATAGTTGGGAACAAGCAGTTTTGAATTCGTTCACGCAGAAAACAAGGTGAGGAAATATGTCCTAAATGTTTTTACTAGTGCAGTGGCACACATGAAAAGAGAGGAATTCTTGTGTATTTAGAAATGTTCAATCATCTCATTTGAAGATCTTGATGAAGATTAAAGTTTAAATTTGTGTTAAAAGTTCAATCCCGATTACCTAAGAAGTCAAGACCCACTGATTTAGAATTTCTTGGAAATTGCAATATTACATAGGATTCCTTTTCCTTAGTTTTGTAAACGACAAAAATTAAATTAAAAACTTGATTATGCATAACCCACGTTGGACTTTGAATTATTTATAATATGATTTTTCTAAATTCTGAAGTTACAAACACGTTTCCAATATTAGAAGCAGTTCTTTACAAAAAATTTCCGAAGGTTGAATGTATTGGTGTCTTGTTTTTTTTTTTTTTGGCCAAATGTATTGGTGTCTAAAGCATATAAAAGTTTCAGATTGCGGCACCCATTTCGATCCATTATGTCGCCATTGTAACAAGTTATTGGTAGTATCAATCATAAATGTCATATTTTTACTGCCCCTATACAGATCTCAAACCTATTTATACTCAAGGCTTTAAAGAATATAGATTTAACAAACCTTGCTTTTTCTCGCTAAAAAAACAAAATCTTTTCTCAACATGCATGATTAGGAAAGTTCAAACTATATTATTAGGAAACGAATCCTGCGATTAACTCTAGTGAGTCATACATCTTTCCATAAAATGGATCACGTTCATTAGTATGAAGCCGAAAATGAGCCACATTATTTCACTTCTAAACAATGCAGCTCCCCATAACTTTTGCATTTTGATTGATGTATTGATATTGATATGTGAAGTTTCTGCTTCCTATTAATTATTTTGGCTTATTGCCAGTCAGAACAGCACACAATGAGCACAACAATGTCATGTTTTTTGCATCACTTCAAGTAAAGACATGATACTTATTTTTCAAATGTAATTTTTTTTTTCATTTCTCTCCATTCTATAAACCAAATAACCCCCAGTGATTGACGATGTGCTGCTTTCAAATCAATGTGCAGTGTTATAAATGACAGACATCTTTAACGAGGTTTAAATTGAAATGAACAAAATGATTTAGACATTCAGAAGTCTGATGTGCCTGGAATCAAGCACAATAGAATCATAGGTAAGAAAGTGATTTAAAGATACGAGGAAATATTCACTCCTTTTTTTCAGGAAAAGGAAATGGGCGAACATCTAGACACCTACATTTGGTCAACATAGCATTACTTGTTTCATACTCACATAGACAGCTTAAAGTCTATTTACTGCACAAATGAATCTGTTTATATTAACCAATAACAGCAATTGTATAAATCTCAGCAAGGCAACCAAGAAAATCAAAATCACAGTGAGAATAATAAGGCATGCTCGATAAGATGATATGTCAACTACCAAAGCAGATAAATAAAAGTCACCATCCAGCATCAATATATTATCTGAAATCAAAATATCATAGTCCCAATTTTCTTGAAGTGAGTTTGTCCCCGTGCAGAGTGACTTTCCAGCAATCAACATGGAATACAAATACAGAAATCTTTTTTGGAACAACTGCAAGTCAACAGAAAGAAAGGGTAACGTTAGAAATATAATTAATAAGCTAAATTGTATCATAATTTTTTCATGCTTGAAAAAATTATATCATATTTTAATCCCACATTTCTTTGTTTTTGACGCTGTAGAGTTTTTGCTTGTTATGAATATAGTAAACTATAATTCAATCTCTAACCCTTTTCAGTAGTTTTCTCCCTCTTTCTTCAGTCTCTTTTCAACCCTCCCTAGGGGTTGGGGGGCCACCTAAACATTGCAGAATATAATTTTATATAAGTAATATTTATGTTGTTTGGGAATCGTTGAGCTTTTCATCTTCAATTATAAAGGGTACCCAAAATAAATCAGGTCAAATAAAATATCTGAGCATTGGTAGTTTAATAATTTTAAAGTAAATAGTTGGGACTCCAACGTAAAGGCAGTCGAAATCAATCTAGTCCGTGCATTGAGGTAGAATAACAACAACGACAACAACAAACCTTTATCCCATTAGGTGGGATCGGCTATATAGATTGCAAGACGTCATTGTGCTCTATCATTTATCAAGCTTTTAGGAATATTATTAATTAAAAGATCGCGTTCAACAACTTCCAAGAGTGTTCTCTTAGGCCTTCCTCTATCTCTCTTAATCGGACTCAAAGTTATATATTCCACTCTTCTCACTGGTACCTCCTTTAGTCTTCTTTGTACATGCCCAAACCATCTCAACCGATTTTCTACCATTTTTTCCTCAATAGGTGCCACCCTCACTTTTTCGCGTACGTGCTTATTTCGAATTTTATCTTTGTGTATGTCCGCACATCCATCGTAACATTCTCATCTCTGCTACTCCAACTTTATGCTCTTGCTGTCCCGTTAGAGCCCAGCATTTACTACTATATAAAATTGCCGGTCTAATAGCAATGCGATAAAACTTTCCTTTAAGTTTATTAGGCACCTTACGGTCTCAAATAACTCCTTTAGCTTTTCTCCAATTAAACCACCCAACTTGAATTCTATGTAAAATATCTCCACTGATTTCGCCATCATTTTGAATAATGGCTCCCAAATATCTAAACTTTTCCACTTGAGGTATAATTTGATCTCTCAATTTCACTTCCAAATTATTGTCGAATATTCCTTTACCAAATTTACAATATAAATATTCCATCTTACTTCTACTCAGACGAAAACCTTTCGACTCCAACGTCCTCCTTCATAACTCAAGTTTGCAATTAACATCTTCTCTTGTCTCTGCTATAAGAACTATATCATCCGCGAAGAGCATACATTTCGGGATTTCCTTTTGAATATGTTCTGTCAAAACATTTAAAATCAAGTTGAACAAATAAGGACTCAGAGATTATCCTTGATGTAGTCCAATCTTTATAGGAAAATCCTTTGTTTGACCACTAGGCGTTCTTATACTAGTTTTTACCCCCTCATACATATCTTGTATGGCTTTAATATAAGCAATCCGTACTCCCTTTTTTTCCAACGCTTTCCAAAGCACTTCTCTTGGTATACGGTCATAAGCTTTTTTCAAATCAATAAAAACCATGTATAGATCTTTATCTTTACAACGATACTTTTCCATTAATCCCCGTAGTAGATAAATCGCCTCTGTAGTTGATCTACCTGGCATAAAACCAAATTGATTCTCAGAAATACTTGTCTCCAATCTCAACCTATGCTCAATTACTTTCTCTCATAATTTCATTGTATGGCTCATGAGTTTAATCCCTCTATAGTTAGTACAATTCTGAATATCTCCTTTATTTTTATAAATAGGAATTAATGTACTTCTTCTCCACTCATCAGGCATTTTCTTGGACCGTAAAATCACATTAAATAACTTAGTTAACCATCTCACCCCTTCTTCACCTAAACATTTTCACGCTTCGATAGATATACAATCAGGTCCGTTGGCTCTACCATTTGCCATTTTCTTAAGAGCTTCCTTTACCTCCTTATCACGTATTATTCGATAAAATGACAAATTTTGTTCTCCTTCCCCAGTTACTAAATCCTCCAAGTTACTAGATGAATCCTCTCCATCATTGAAAAGTTTAGAAAAGTAAGTCTCCCATCTATTTTTAATTTCATCATCTATAACTAAAATTCTTCTCTCTTCATCCTTAATACACCTTACTTGTTCTAAATCTCTTGATTTTCTTTCCCTACTCTTGGCAATCTTATAAATATTTTGCTCTCCTTCCTTCGTCTCAAGGTTCTTATAAAATTCTTCAAAAGCTTTAGAACGAGCTTCACCCACAGCTCTCTTAGTTTCCTTCTTAGCTATACAGTACCTCTCCCAATTTTCCTCATTGTTACACAAATGTATGGCTTTAAAACAGTTCTTCTTATACTTGATTTTTCCTGTACACTATTATTCCACCACCAAGACTCCTTATCTCTCGGACCAAAACCTTTCGATTCTCCCAAAACTACTTTTGCAACCTCCCATATCTTTTTAGCCATATCCTCCCATATGATGTTAGCACTTCCCTGAGATTCCCAAATTCCTTTATCCAAAAGATTTCGCTTGAAAATATCTTGCTTCTCACCTTTTAATTGCCACCACCTAATCCTTGGTGTTACTACTTGTTGACGTCTTTGAATTTTACTCATAATACACACATCAAGGACTAGGACCCTATGTTGTGTCGTTACAGCATCTCCGGGGATCACCTTACAATTTTTACAAAGTCTTCTATCTGTGTTCCTAACCAAAAGAAAATCAATCTGTGACCTTGAGGCTCCACTTTTGTAAGTGATGAGATGCTCATCTCTCTTCTTGAAACAAGTGTTGGCAATCTTAAAATCATACGCCAATGAGAAATTAAGAAGAGTTTGTCCTTCATTGTTTAGCTCTCCAAAACCAAAACCACTATGCACCCTCGCATACTGACCAGCTTCCCTCCCAACATGCCCATTAAAGTCTCCTCCAATAAAAATCTTTTCACTCTGTGGTATATGTCGAATCAACCCCTCCAGATCCTCCCAAAATAATTCCTTAAGACTGGCTTCTGTCCCGACTTGCGGCGCATAAGCGCTAACAATATTAATAATCTCACGTCCGATTATCATTTTTAAGGAAATAATTCTGTCTCCAATTCTGCTAACTTCTACAACGTTCTTCTTCCACTCCTCATCTATAATGATGCCTACTCCATTGCATGCACTTACTTTTCCTGTATACCAAAGTTTGAAACCTTGAATATCCTTAGCTTCTTCTCCACGCCATTTTGTTTCTTGCAGGTAAAGGATATTGATTTTTCTTTAAATCATAACCCCTACAACCTCTACAGATTTACAATTTAATGTCCCAACATTCCAAATACCAAATCTAATTTTGCTCTTATGGACTAACTTCTTTAGCCGCGTGCGTCCAGAATGACGCGGCAGCCCTTGCTCATTTAACACTACATCCGGGCACCGATGCAGTGGCTCTAACTCACTTATCACTGTACTCGAGTCATGCAGCGTGTTACTTACAGGCAACGACCTAGCATTAACATTTAACGTCTATTGTCCATGTTCATGATAGATTCAACAACGTTTTACATTGGCTATTGATAGCCTAACACAACCCTCCTCCTTTACCCGGGTTTGAGACCGGCTATAAACATAGGCAAAGTTGCATTGAGGTAGAAAACGTTGCACAATTTAAGATTTTCCATCTCCCAGGGGTTGTGTTTAATCAGTAACTATAGCCTGTTATTCAGTATTTTCACTGCTGAAAACAATACAGTAGCAAGGTTTCCATCAGAAATGCCATGAAAAGCCTCAATAATTGGAAATTTTTTCCCAATTGTGAAAGTTGTTTGGTTTGAGATGGAACCAGCATGTATATTGTGGCAGTTGATTTACGAAGATAAACCATTACTATTCTAGATTTCGCCTGACAATATAACCTAAATGTACTAAGCTAGTTACGAAGATTGCAACCCTTAAAATTGAAAAAATTCCAACAAAACGTAGCAGGAGAGGAAAATAGCTCAAGAAAAGTTTGACAATAAAAACTAACTAAAAATATTGATTAGTCATCACTACTCTTATGGTAAAACATAATAAAAAACGTTGACTTTTTTTTAACCAACATAGAAAAAAGGTCGCAAAGTGGTTGGGGTGCCAAAAAAGAAGAAAGGAACGAAAAAAAGAAAAGGTTACTGTGCCATTTTGAAACATCACCGAGAAGACCTAATGATAGAAAATATGGGAAGCATTGGTCTTGAAAAAAATAAGTTTTCTTTATGTTATGTTAATATTTTGTAAGAAGGGAAATCTGAAACCTAGCTTTCTATGGACATGGTATTAAGGTTTCCTTTTGTGTTATTTTGTTAGAAGGGAAATTTGAACGTTAGCTTTCTTTGGACAAGTGATCAAGATTTCCTTAATAGGTAGGAAAGTCAGTTTAAATAGCATAGCTTGCATTTGTATTGGCACACCTTGATGAATGTAATATTTGATTGAGATTTCCGATAGCTCTTCTCTCCCTGTGATTCTGCCTCTCCCTCTCTTCCACCCCCTACTGTTCTGTTCTTCATTCTCATTTCTCCCTCTCTATTTCTCCCTGCTCTCTCCCTTTGTTCAGATCTGTGCAAGTGTGCGTTACATCACCTAAAAACAACACTGCTTGAAGCTTGATCAAACAATGTTACAATATCAGGTTAAGAGCATTGCCAAAAGTAGGTAAACAGATTAGTAATAGAGACATGACTAGAGTAAATCAGGAAAGCAGCATTGGGATGGTGTGAAGTAGAAAGAACGGTTGGAGTAACAAAGTCAGAGAAAAGTGCCACCATCATGATGCATGATGAGAAGAGTTGCTGGAACAATGTGCAGCCAAAGAAAAATGGCTACAGTAAGACACAATGGAAAATAGACAAAGAACTACCAATATATGTGGCTAGAGAATTACCAGAAAAGTAATAAGAGCATTGCTAAGAAAAATGGTCAGACATCAAAAAACCCTGGCTTCATATGGGGGAAAGGGCCAGAGGATCTCAGAAAGTTGTTATATGACCACTGGAGATGGAGGCTGAATATGTGCTGGACCAGAGAGATGCAAAAAATGGAGGCTAAGTTAGCAAGGCCCCAACTGAACAACATAACTGGTGTTGGCTCTCTTTTATCTCTCCCTAGAAGTGTTGTAATCAATGCAAAGGGGCAAAAAAAAAAAAAAGCGAGAGCTTTGGAAAGCCTAGAAATGAAAGGCTTGTAATATATATATATATATATATATATTCATTACAGAGTGAAGGTTCCATAACTTGACATACAACCAATGTGGAACTTATATAACTTAATAAGGAAGGGGGTAAAAAAATCAAAAGGCTTGTATTACATACATTCATATGAGAATGCAAATGCATCAATTGAGTTCAAGAGAGAACTTAATATGGTAGAGGGATTACCTTGAAATTTGTTATCTTCAGTAATTACCCCAAACGTTTCTGCTGTTTCACGAATCACAATGCCACAAACTCCAGTAAAAGAAATTACTTTACACTCCACAACTGCAAAAAGTGATATTCAAAAAAAATCTAAGATGACATTGCTCAATATTTATTGTAGGAGTCTTGAAAGCACGTCTCTTTTTAGTAAACTACCAACATTAAATAAGTCGATCCTCCAGGCTATAGCTTTAGCAACCAAGAGAAAGTGATATGAATTTTTATGATTTAGATCACAACATAACCTTAAAGGTGTAAAACACATTCTGCATGAGTTCTAGAACTTTTTTTTTTTTAAATTTAGGAGGTACAAACTATGATTGCCTGCAGGTTTAAGGCAATTCTGATTCTTGAGCAAGGTCAAGGCAATGAGGGTTTAAATCAGAGATCCCCTCCTTAGAGAAGAAGGGTCAGCTCCTGGTCTGTAGCCTAAACAGCATAAAGATCACCTTGGCTTTTAAACTGACGCAGTAAACATCATTAGCTGTTTTAAACACAAAATAGGTCTTGATAAATCTTAGTTATTCAGAAAAAGCAATTTTAAACTGTCTTTTGATGCAGATTGATGACATATGTATCTTCTAACTCCTAAGTAGCTTTTGGGAGAATGAATATTATGCTCAATCAGGAACAACATAACTTCGCATAAATAAAGCACCATGATAAACTAAGAAATATATTGAAAAATGGTTAAATGTCAGATAAACAGGACCATGTATCGGAACATATTTTTCATTTCTAACGAACACACCCATGTGTGTCTAATTAAAAGTAATAACCTGATAACCTATGAAAGTTATGTCATCTCAATGCATTTTCCTACAATCTCATGTGCTTTTTGTTGAAATTGTGCATACTTTAGGTACATATAATAGGAAAAAGTGCATATCTCAAACTTGGGTTTAAATGACAAAATCTTGGTGTAAATTGTGTATAATTTTTTTATCTTGGTGTAATCAATCTTGTACTTCACAAAATTTCTTGCCTTCTTAGGTTGTTAGAACATTATTTGAGGAGCAAAGAAGGAGTTATAAAGTTATTACATCAAGAAAAAGATAAGACAAAGAGTGAAGAACTAAGCCTCAGCCGAAAGCCAAAAGCAGAACTTCACCTATGCATTTTGGCCGCAGTCAAAGTTGTGGCCGAGAGGTTTTGGCCACAGCCAAGAAAGAATTAGCCGTAGCCAAAAAGCATTTACTGAAGCTATGCGTTTTGGAATCAAACTTGAAGCTAACGTTACATATGTGAAATTCTAGCACTTGGAAGAGAGAGCTGCAAGTGTCAGAGGTTCTTGGAGGCTTGATATTCTAGGGTTTAGGTTCTTGAGGGAGATTTGATCAAGGATTGAAGATTTGAAGAGATTCAAGTGAATTTCCTTCAATTTTTCTGCTTCTCTTCCCTTTTCTCTCTTTGTTTCTGATATGATACTGTACATTTTGTTATTTGTGGCTCTTTTATGAGTATGAGTAGCTAGTTCTCTTGTTTTAAAATTATTTCGAACCTTTATATGGATTAAGACTTGAATATTCCTCTCTTTTGATAGTTAATGATATGTGTTTATTTTATCCTATACTTAAAGCTTCTAAGTGCTTATCGCTATTTTGATTGTCTTGTTCACTTGAGTTGTGCTTGAGAGAGATAATTTAGGTGTAGAACCCAGATAAAATAGTACTAGACTTGAAATTTACAAAGAAAAATGGATGGTTTTTTTGGCAAAATAGAGATATTTTATTAACCCTTCATAATCTTATTAAGATTGAAGCTTAAAAATTATTTTCACTAATTATTTTTAAGAGATCGGAAAATTTTAGTGTTTGTAAATATACTTGAGAAAGCTTTTTCAAATAAATTAAAATCTTAGACTGACACTTATGTTCATTAAAAATCTATTTGAAAGAAATTAAATTAAGTTTAATGAAATACAAAGGGAAGAGATAATCCTAGATCCTCGTCTCTTAAAGTCGAGGTTTCAACAAATTTTAATTGTTTAAACACTTTTAATCCAATTTTCATTATTCTTGATTTCACTCAACCTAATCCAAAACCTAATAGTGAATTTTTAACTCTCATTTGTCTAAATCCTCATGAGAACGATATATCTGGAATATTTTGCACTTGTAACGACCCGTACGCTTGTGATAATGCTTGATGGCGGACATAACGCAATGCAATAAATAAGCATGACAAAATCAACTGTTCAGTGTTCACAAACCTAGAATGATGGCACCATGTAGATCCGCATCAAGAAGACATTGAGCTAGTTGATTCTCCCTAAAAATTTGACCACATTCATGGTCATAAGAATCATCAGAGAGAGCAAGTATAAATTTTAGGAATCATGCATATGAAATCAGTTAATGATGAAAATGGAAATAACTACCCAGCCGCATTAAGAAGCTGTTGCATGTAACCTTTCCAGAATTCATGCATGGGCCTAAAATTATCAAATCTGTAATTCAAGTGGACTGTAATTAGAGAAAAAGAATATCATCATTACAAAATAGATTATAACAATGAGTTGTTGAAAAATGATCAGTCACAGTTAACCAAAAACTAAGAGCAACAAAAAAGAAAATAGTAAAGGGAAACACTTAGGTACTAATGCTTGTACACCTAACATACTTTTGTGCAATCAACTTAAAACGAGTGGATCTTAAAGTGTTAATAACATTAATAACAAGAATTTGTTATGGGATAAACAATATATAAAAGATCCACATGTTATAGTTTAATTGGAAACAAGCACCTTAAGAATATAAACCTAAGTATACAAGTTTTTCCCAATAGTAAAGTCTCTTTGAAACACCATGGAGACAGTACCACTCTCCACAACTACAACTCTAAGGAAATACTAAAAACTAAATGGGCTAAAGAATTTGTCTAAATGTGCAGTTTAGAACACATAAACTTACTTGTCGAATTTTCGAGGAAGGTCCAATGTTCCTTGCTTTTTATGTTGTTTCTTAGACAAGTGTTTCTTGGATCGTTTTGAATTTACTCGCAAAGCCCTAATGTAAGAACCAGTAGATGCTCCACACCTTCGTGCAAGATTATCAAGAAGGATCCAGTAATCAATTTTCATGCTTCTTGATCCTTGCATGCACTTTGGAGCCAAATCTCCCCTCTGGAGAAGCTCATGTAATATACCATTTACTGAACTTTCTCTCCCAGCAAGAAACTGCATGATCTCAGTCAGAGTGAGAGGAGGAATTTTTTATGGTTTTTTTTTTTGGGGGGGGGGTTCATCCATGAAATACGAATACCAGAAAATTTAGAAATTTCTAGGTAGCAGTAGGAAAATATAGGATCATTTTTCACGAGAAGGGATCATATATATCATCTTTAAAATATGAAGATATAGTGCAATGTGGGAATTAAGATAAGTGTAGTTAGGGAATTGGGAGAAAGGGGCATTAGGGTATTTGGCTAACATTTTCATTGTAAATAGGGAATCTGTGTATGGGTTTGGCGGAAAATGAATCAACAATTTGGCCATTAAGGTTTTGAGGCTTCTATAATGTATCAACTGGTGTCATATATTAGCCAAATACCCTAATTTCCCTTTTGTCCCAATGCCCTATCTACCCTTACCCTAATTCACTAATTACTCCCAATTCCATTAAAACATAGAGAAACTTCAACATCTTTGCTTTAGCCAGAACCCTTGAATTGCATGCTAAAAGTGTTTTCAAAAGGGACTTATGACATCTGTAATTAAAATCTACATCACCGATTATTTCAGTGTTTGGATAGGATGAAAGTTAACTTCATGATGTTACATAGTAGGGGTTTGAATTTCATCCCCTTTTTGGTAGAATGAAAGTTGTATTATGAATTGTCTGACTATGGGTTCCGAAAAAAGGAATACCTCCTCATTAGTAGCTAGCAGATATTCATGTACAGTCTGAGAGAGCTGTGCATAAGTTGGACCACCTTCTTCATTGTCTACAGAGAACTACAAGTTATTTATTGTCCATACAAATTGAAAAAGTTCACAATACATATATAGATAATGTATGCATACAGGTAATTGTGTATATATGTATATGTATATGTAAATATTGATGCATATACATGCGTGCACAAGCATGTGTATGTATATTTAAATACATTCATATAAATATGTACATAGATATGTATGTATGTATGTATCAGTGGGTAAACATATGTACACACGCAAATACACACATATGTACACAAGCGTACACATGCATGTGTAAAGGTAGTATTGCATGGATTGTCCAGTACCTCGCAAAGTAGCCTGGCCAGAGAAAGTGAAATTCCCCAAAAGATCAAGGTTAGGAGAATAAGTCAAAAACCAAACCACTCAAAGATGCTTCCAAGCTTCTCTTATGCAAATTATTAAATGAACAACAAATCCCAAAACTTTTGCCACCAAGCAAGATGCACATGTATCACATGAAATACAAAGTGAGGATAAAAATCTTCCCAACAAACTCAAACTGAACGTAATGAAAACCCATTGGGTACTATGAAATCAATGGATTTTAGTTATCACAACATTAAATTCATAAAGCCAGGGAATAAAATATCTGACATTCTGTAAGTGGCATCTTTGGTCCAATGGGGAAAATCATATATTGCAGATCTCTCGGATACTTCAAGTACTCTTACAAATACTGAAACTGCATATGGACTTTTCTTGATTTTGGATATAAAACTACATCACCCTCAATTTTTAAATCAAATAAATGGATAGTCCTATTGAAAAAACAGCAATTGACTACAAATCTAGGCATATAGCTCTGTTTTAATGCACGCAGCTAAAAATGACCATAGAACATTTAACTTCTGCATTTAAGCAGTAGTCAACACACATTCAAGAGGAAGAGTCAAATTTAACCAAATGTAAGTGCTTCACTCAAAATTAAGCGAGCCTGATATAACAGTTAAATAGTGTGCACCAAGATTATATTAAAAATGCATTTTTATTTTTTATTTTTTTGAAAAAAAGTGGAAAAATTTAAAAGAGGAAAACACAAGGACACAAAAATTGAAAGTTGAATTGCCCTTCTTGGAAGATGTGCTCAAAGGAGGCACACCCAATGGACCACATAAAAGTGATGAGGAATCAGTGGAGGTAATAATTGCAGTATGATGTTGTTTCCCATATTCTTTTATACTCTTTTTATCTTTCTTTTGTTGTGTGAGAAGCTCACTTTTGCAACAGCAAATCTTCTCTCCAATGCCTCCAATGTCTGTTTCCTTGAATCTTGAGTGATTGACTCTGCAGCCATGGACACCTTCTTGCTATATGAATAAGAATAAGACCAACATTAATATGTAATCAAAATACATTTGAAGCAGTCAAAGAGCAACGTATCATTAAACAAAAAGGCATCAGGCATGAAAAATATGGGATTCGACTATCAAACTCTAAATGCACTGAGAATGCAAAGTCATCTAGACATACATTATAACACAAAAGAAAGAAACCCCAATAAATTCTTTCCAATTTTTGTTCTCAAATGATAAAAGAATTATCCATTAATAGAGAAAAGCAAATAGCAGGAGGTTATGAAATCCCACTAAGTAAATAGAAACAAAGGAAAAGGGATATGAACAAAAGAGCAAGGAGTGAAGAGGGTGGAGGTATGATTGCAGACTGAAAGTTCAACAGTCAAAGATTTATTAGCAAAGTTGTTGAGACAAAGTGATGATACTCATTTTCTAAGATTAACAACTCAATCGTTCAATATTTATAACTCATCTTCTAGGATTAATAAATGTGCTATGTTACTGACCAAGTAAAGGAATTTTCATCAATCATTTTTTTTTTTACAATTAAAGACATTGAGACATTATCATTTTGTAAATTCGAGGACCTATCTATCATTATCTTTTATACAGGGGGCCTATATGTCATTTTCCAAATTATTGACAAATTTTTACATTATTCTCTATCATATAAGATAAATTTGTGCGAGTGATTGAGACAAGTCCTTAAATGTCTCAAACAATAACTCATCAATTTCATGAGATGAGACATTGCCATGAATATCACCATCAAGATCCACATGACTTATCTCTTCGCTGTGGTAAATCCAATCTTTGTAGCCTTCTACAAATCCCTTGCTTATCAAATGATTAAACACCACTTTTTCCCCAACAACCATTTTAACATACACCACAAGGGCACAAAATTTCTTCTCCTTCAAAGTTCAGACTTTCTTTCAAAGAATGAAACATTCAAAAAGTATTTAACACCAGTAGTATACTCTTTAAAATACCAGAGAAGGTTACAATCCAATATTTTTATCACGTTTGGTTCACTAAACAACAAATTGCCCAGAACAGCAACATCCATTATTATATGCATGAATCAATTTACTTAGCATGAATATCAAGGTAAAGCATATAATCTCTAGCTATCTACCTACCTAGTCACTAATTAAACACAAGATTATTGATCACCGTTTATTCCATTCTCTTTGGCCTCACTCCATGAATACTGCAACTCACATATATTAATTGAAAATAGTGCAGATAAAATTTTTCAAATAAGGCCTAACACATGGTAAGAAATTAATAGCCCTATAATTCATATGTGGGGCTGGGGGGAAGGTACTAGGGTGTATGTGCAAGTCTATGTGTATAGGTATGGAGCTAAACCAAATTTAGTGGCAGTGATTTGGGTAAATGTGGTGTGCGGGATCTAGATTCTAATTCTAATTTGCACATGAGAAGACACCCTTATATATGAACATAGAGACCTTGCAAATTGAATATTATACTTCTATATTGATATACCATGAGTGAATGATAGATCAAAAGATGGTTTATTTTATATACATAGAAGAAGGAATGACCACTGTATTAGCAATTATTAAAGACAGAAGCCTCTGGACAATAATGAAAATCATGGGAATGATGCCACAGAAGGTTATTTTTAAAACAAAAGATTTAAATCTAGCTATAAGATGGACCCAGCAAGGTCTTAAAGCAAATTAAGGCCTAAATTAAATCATTTCCATGCCATTTACTCATCACAAGAAAAAAAAAACATTGCATCATTGTTAGCATCAAAGTAATTTTTAAAGACTCAAGAATAAAAAATTTAAACAGAGTATTGAATTATAAATTTCTCCATCAAACTTAGAATATTACATTATAATTTTTCTTTCCACTTTAAAATTTAAGTCTCTGAAACATCTAAAATATTTCAAACTTCAAATCTTCCAAAATAAATGGGCTAAATTAAAGGTTTCACTCTGTAAGTTTTCCAATAATTTAATTCTCTTTGGACCTCTAGTAGGTTTTTTTTTTTTAATCCCTTTTTAATCTGAAAGTACCTCTGTAGTGATCTTCAAGATATATCAGGTCCCTTAGTCATAGCCATAGGCAGGCCTATATTACACTCACTGGGGGCATCTGACCAAACTGAAATCTTTGAAATATGCATATTTGATATATAACCCTTTAATTTTTATTCCAAATACTTTGACACAACTTGAGCCAAGTCATTTACAACATCGTACATCCCATCACAAATGCCTTGAAAATTTTCCTAAATTGATGATAATATAAAAAGATTAATAAACAAAATGCCAATACACAACAACTCCCAACATTGCAAAACAACACAATCCAAATCATGCAAGTTGCTAGTAATCAAAATGAATAGGGAAGAAGTATAATAGCCCATTACACACCATTCAAGCAAAAACTAGTACCCAAAAAAAAATTTAATATGTAGATATTCCCATTTTTTTTTTTGGATAAACATGATTCATGAATTACTAAGTGCCGGTTTGGATAGATATTTAAAATCGATTATGTATCATGAAACCATGATTTTGGTAAAAAGGATCCAAACACCCTCATTTTTCAATAATCAATTTTTTACCAGATGAATGACGCTCATAATTTCTTTGAAGTTACTCTCCACAAATTCTCCATCAACTTTATGCCCTTACTCAAGATTACCCAAGCAAGTTTGGATATTTTGGATATTTGGTCCATGGCAAAGTTTAAAACAATGAGTTTATATTGAGGACTTCCTTTAATATACTTTTAGCTTATACATCTCTTATTTACCAGATTAATTTTTATTTTCTTTTATTATATCTTGGACATCTATAATTACAGCCCCAGGGCAGCACAAGTAAGTAGGCTTGACACTTAAAATACCAAACCAGTCCTTGTATTATGTTTCTCTCCTAACTTCCTCTCTCTCTCTCTCTCTCTCTCTCTTATTTCACGACATTTCTCCCGTTTCTTCTTCTCCCCTTCTCCTTTTTCTTTGCTATTCCTGATCAGGATGTCTTTATAGTAATGGTAGCCTAGTAAAGAAGTTTATCTTAAATACACATCACATATATAACAAAAATTCCAACAGCAAGCCACAAAAATTCTAAATGAGAAGTAGAACTAAACTTCGAAAATTTACAAAGAGCAACTATGAAAACACATGAAAAGGCCAACCCAATAGCCAAGTTGAAAGACCTAAACATGCCCTGAGTAAAAGCAAAAGAAATTCACAGTCAAACCCACCTCCCAATTGAAAGACTAACACCCAAAAACAATTTGTAGAGGTACCTAATTATACAAAACAACTGCATTTCAAACTAGGAATGGCAAGGGTGAGAAAGAATGGATTGTTCACTACTTGCTACTGCTGCATGCCATTCTACCCTACCCTGTTCTTTTCTCATTTCATACCTGTCTCCACTCCCTCACCCAAAAAAAATAATAATAATAAAAGACACATTAAGCTCACATTCAGTCAAAATGAGGAAAAGATAAGGAAATTGCAGTAGATCAAATGCTGAAATCTTAGTTAGATAAATAAGAGATGAGTCTGAAAAGTGAAAGAAACAGAAGCAACACTTCATCTAAAATTGAAAAGCAGAGAATTATCAAGGAAACAGGTATATATGCATAGAAAACAAAGAAATGCAATATCCCTAATGTTATTGGTGCCATTTCTTCCTGTGTTCCAAACACAAGGTGGGACAATAATATGCAACAACGTGAATAATGAATTAATAGAACAGTTAAAAATTCCAAGGAAAGGGCCCAAGAACAATGAGTACTTAAAGTTTCTTCAGGTGCAGCCTCTCAGTTTATAAGCACTTTTCTACAAAAAACAACAGGATGCACGTACGGTAATGCATATAATCACAAACTCAAGTAATTAACTTTTCAAGGTCATGTCACAATTGAATAATATTACTTTAATCCAACAAAAGAACTAATTTAATCGAGATTAGAGCATAACTTAACAAAGGCACTTAAAATACACCAAATATGAAAATTGATCCAAAAGTAGGACACCACATTTTTGTATATGAAGAAGAGTTTATCTGCACAAGTCAATTATCCACACAGCAACTGGTTAGCAAACGTTAAACCTCAGCTAACTCATTGTTGCCATGCTTGGATTTTTACCATGGCTAATTCAGGCATTTCATCAGTATTTTGCTCTAATTTTTTCAAAGCATGATAAGACAACCTTTGTCACGACTAGAAGAGTGGCTAAGGTGCCAAAAACCTTACAGGTTTTTTCATTACTTATATTTCTTTACATGAAAAATAAAATCATGAGAAAGTCCACACATACAACAATATATCAACCTGCGATAGGCCTGGCATGGCTTGAAGCTTTTTTAAAGGCCTACTTATTAATATGTAGGACTTTAAAAGGCTTAAGGGAATAGGCCTTGATGGTTTTAAGTAGGCTTTGAGCCTACCAAACTAAAGCCTACTTTAAAAAGGCTCAATGCCTATTAAAGGCTACATGTTATTAGAATAAAATTAAGAACTGATTTGTGTAGCAATTTAATAAATCCAAATAAAAATTGTTACTAAAGAGTGAGATCTAAATCCCAGACAGTGATTCCACTGACAATAATCTATAGAAAAAATACAGCACAACAATACAACATAGCAGGTGTAGCATCAAATGGAAATTGAACAACACAACAATGTAACAACGGCATGTCAGTATGAAATGAATACAACACCAATGAAGGCTTCAATATAATCTCTTCCTACTCAGAACTTGTACAAGACCTTGTCCTACCTAATATCATAAGTTAAAATACAGCACAAATTAATAAAAAAAGAAGAAAATACGAATAGATGAGATAGATTAAAATCAGTGTAACAGTGTTCTCTTTCATTATAAGTGGTGTTAATGAAAGAGAGGGAAGGAGTTTCAATGTTTTATTGTAAAGAAAAGGATCTCTCCATTTCTTTGTTCTCATTTTCCCTCCACTTTCCAATCATGACCATTCATAAACCT